AACCCACTCAAATCAAGATTCATGATTCTAGGCTCCAGATACCAAGTTCGAGCTATTGAGTCGGCTAACCCTGAGATAATGATCATGGGAAAGAGAATTGAAAGAGTTGAGCAAGCATGCAATCTGGGCTTAATTATGGACCCTGAGCTGCGTTTCGAGGCACACATAACAAAAGTCTTGGGAAATTGTTTTTATAGGCTGAAGGTGTTATATGGTATACGGAAATATCTGAGCACTCCGTTGCGCAAACAACTTGTTGACAGCCTCATCCTATCGAAGTTAAACTATTGTGATGTAGTATATGGACCATGCCTTCTCTCTAGAACAGAGCGCGTTATCCAACGAATACAAAATGCCTGTGTACGTTTTTGCATTAATATACCACGAAGAAGTCATGTTACTCCATACATAAATGAACTGAAACTACTAAAGATGGCTGCTAGGAGAAAGCTCCACTTGGCCAATTTGTTGTTTGGCATTATCGAGGCACAGGCACCAGAATATCTTTTTAAAAAGCTGACCTGGAAACACAGTCAGATGAGGCATGGTCTTCGCTCCATGGTGTGTCCATTGGCCGTTCCTAAGCATCACACTGCGGCATTCAGGGGATGCTTCAAATTTGCGGCCACGCGCTGCTGGAATGATCTCCCTCCCCCACTTCGGTGCCTGAAAACCAAACATGCATTTAAGGCACAATTTAAAAAGTTTTCACTTCATCATCAAATGAGCCTCAACTTGTGACATTGCTTCATACCTCGGGGGTCTTGGCACGCATGCTCAGGTTAGGGGATCACTTCCTGCAGTGTTGTTGTTGTTGGAGTGTCTACACTTCTTCACTCAAACCTTTGTTTCTCATGTGTGTCACTGGTACTCTGTTTTTTCCCATTTTCCTGTATGCAATATCAATTTAATTCCTTAATTATATAATTTACAAATATGTATGTTTAATCTATGCAATTTAGTACCAACGTGAAGTCAATTTTCATATTTAATTATAATGACTCAATAAAACCTCGACATAATTATCAAAAATTAATACAAACTTAATAGGTACTATTCGTCATAATCTTATATCTAATACGTATTTTTTAGGTTATAAATCCAATGGCGTTACCATTGGAAAAATAGATGCATGGGTAAAATATCACTTACCTGAATCATCCTGGTAGAATTCGATCGACCTCCATGGTCACATTTTACAACTACAGCATACTACACATTATTTCATATTGTCATTACACAATTCATGTTCTTTTATCTCACAACACAACATATTTAAACCACTTATCTCCATAATATTTACTATTATTTACACGGCGGATTGCATAATAATCATTGGTAGGTATGTGTCGCCATTACGTAATACAATTACTATTGTCTAATTACTACAATAAATTGTTTGTGGCAGCTGGCAGAAAGAATAGACTTTTTGATCGAATGGAATGGAAGCGCGAGCGTCGCTTTCATTCGTTCAGTGTTGCCACTGACAAGTGTTTCATGGTAATAATTCTAATATTTAGTATTTTTATTTTACTTTTTCCCTTTTATTTTAATCATAGGTAGTTTGTTTTTTGTTTTATAGTACTAATCCAACAATTATATTATATGAAACACATTTTTGTATTTAACTTAGCTTACGTTTCTGCACTGATTGGCGTCATGCGTTGGTGTCGGCCATCGCTGAAAATCAGCGCCGCGACACTGTCTCGTATGGGGTCGCTGCATAATGCTGAGCGAGGGCCATTTCGCGAGCTTGGACGCATATTTTTCTCCTACCCTCTACTTTTGTTATATTGTAGTATAATTCTTAATGTATTTTTATTTTTAACTTTTTTTATTATTGTTCGTTTTGTGTCTTTTATGCGTCCCAGACGCGAATAAATACTTTTTGTTTGTTTGTTTGTTTGTTAAAACACATCAGAAAATCGAAGGAGTAAATTTCTAGCTTTCATAGTCTCCACTTTTGTCAGACTTTTGTTTTCGTCTAAGATTTTCGTTAAAAAGTCTATTCCTGTACTGTCCTTCTTCACAAGATTCTCCGACAATTTTCTTATCCAGGCCACTTCTTCCAAAACGCCCACAGGCTCTCCTTCTTCAATCGTAATTTTTGAATCACTGAAGTTGAATACCGGAATGCGGTTGACATCAGATGACCCCACGACAGTCCTTGCCGGTAGCCATGAGTTTACGTGTTCCGATTTATCAATCACAGCGCACCTTCGAGGTAAACTTCCTTCACTCCTCCTAGGTAATGCGATTGGTACGAGAGTCTGTGATTTTGGTTCAAGAACAGTTCTTCTTAAACAGCAAACTTTTCCCAGGGTTCCACCCTTCATCGGAATTTCCTCAGTTCCACATAGTAATACTCCAGATTTTAAGTCGATGTTACACTGGTGCCCTTGCAGGAAGTCAAGTCCCAGGATGCAGTCATCCAGAATTTTGGCCACAATAACCTCATGTCGATAAACACGTTCCCCAATTTTGATTGTTACGTGCAGTTTTCCACTTATCGGTATCCACTGGCCGGTAGCTGATTTCATTCGTAGGCCAACAATTGGTTTAACGTGTTTCCTGATGTTTTGCTCGAGCAGCCGAACATTTATCACCGTCCTTGAAGCTCCAGTATCTAATGTTAGCTGACTGTTTTTCCCATTTACTTGACCGTCTATCACCAGAGTATTTCCATCGTTAGTTTGCTTGATGTAGATTGTTGGGGTTATTCCACTACCGGCCAGCGCCCACCCCGCAGCCCTGGCTGGAATTAGTTTCCCTGCTGGTCAGAAGTTGAGACCGCCGCGTCCTGGCGGTTCACCTTCTTCGGGCAGTTGCTCCGCATGTGCCCACGCTCTCCGCATCCATAGCACATGAAGTTCCGACGGCGTGGAGGTACCTGCTCCGTTGTCGTCATTTCCCGCAGACATAAGGTATGGGAGTTACCACGCACAGCTTCCACTTCCAATGCATGGGCCAGAGCTTCTTTCATGTTCTTGTGATGGCCCAGATGAACAGCAGCTCGTACTTCGGGGTCCCGAATACCGTCAATGAACGCTTGGAGAAGCGTGCCTTCAATCATTGACGGAGTCGACCGGAAAGCTCGACGCACAAGTTTCTCGATTTCCACGGACCATTGCTGTAGGCTCTCATTAGCACGCTGAGTACGCTCTTTTAATTGCGCTCTGTACACGTGCTCGAGGTGGCTGTCTCCAAAACGTGCCTCAAGTGCGTCGAGGAGGGCACTTAAGCTGAGATCCCCACTTGCGCCGATAGCTTCCAACACTGAGAGCGCTTGATCACGGAGGGCCAGGGTGAGGGCTGACTGTGCTTCCTTCTGAGTCCAACCATAAGCCTCCATAAGTGTCTCAAACTGTAGCTTGAACGCGTTCCAGGATGTTGTTCCGTCGTAATGGGGAATCTTGAGCCCTTTCGTTGCGCTTGAGGCCACATTTGGGGCGTCAAAAACGGCTGCAAGACGGCTTTGGCTCTTCAAAGGGCTTGGGCTTGTCACTTCCTGCTTGATTTTGGAGATCTCTTCTTTCACTCTCTCCTCTATCGCCATGACGCGATGTTCCAACTTGCCTAACCCTTCCTCCACTTCTTGTACCCGTTCGACAGCCTTTTGCAGTCCCTTCGTGAAATCCTTATGCATCTCTTCCAAGCGACGCGCTTGCTCCTCTTGGCGGCGAGCTTGATCCTCTTGGCGACGAGCTTGATCTTCTTTCAGCTCCCGTAGCTGTTCCGCCTGACAGCGTGCTTGCTCTTCTTGGCGGCGCGCTTGCTCTTCTTGGCGGCGCGCTTGCTCTTCTTTCAGCTCCCGCAGCTGTTCTGCCTGACAGCGCGCTTGCTCTTCTTGGCGGCGCGCTTGCTCTTCTTGGCGGCGCGCTTGCTCTTCTTGGCGGCGCGCTTGCTCTGCCATCATTTGCTGCAGCTGTAGCAGAAGATCCACCTGCACAGGCTTGGCTTCTGCATCGCTGGTTTGAGCTGGAGCACCCTCTTCCCTCACACGCTGCGCTTCTGACATTGCACGGGTACTCACTCCCCTTACGTCCTGCGGCACTAGCGGCATTTTTCTCCAATCCCACTTCTGACACCAAATGTTACGTGCCTGACGTCACGTTCCTGACTATGCGGGCTTGGGTTACGGGATTGGATGAAATGAAACACTAATACCGGTTTTCAAACTTTCTATTGTACTTAAGTTACAGCGTCCACGGAGTTAAGTTATCGGCGTTCTTCTCCAGCAGAGTCCGGCCGACTGACACAACTTTGCCGTTCACGCTGACTTAACTCACTTAACTGACTGCACTTCACTATTTCACTGCACTTCACTATTTCACTCACTTTTCTTCTTTTCCACTTCTTCCTTTTCTTCCGAATCGCTTTAGACTTAGAACTCAACTGCTAGCGGTGAGCCGCAGTTCCGCTTATATACCCCCGGTCAGGTTCTAGAACATTCAATTTCGTTATTCTTTTTGATCGTCATGCCTCCAGAACCTTCCAATAATTTCGTTATTCATTTTTATTTATTCTCCTTCTCGCTCCTTAATTTTTCATTTCTTTCACTCAAATAATTCCAGAAAGTTCGACAAAACTTCCATCAACTAAAAAACTTCATGTTTACGGCGGGACTCGAACTCGGGGTCTCTGTGGTGTAATCCACACGCCTTACCGATTACACCAACTCGTGTTGACAATTCACGACGAAATTTACAATCTCTAGGCAACGTTTGACAACCATCCCTTGACGTCATGATGTCAAAGAGTTTTCCGTCACAATAATAATAATTTTGGGTAGATACGGGTTAAAATTGATAAAATGGGCATTTATCCATTTCGGTAAAATACTCGAGTATTTGTACTTCGAGTACCTATTTATCCACTGACTTCCAAATGCAGGACACCAAAATATTTTTTTATTTTTTGTCCCAATACAATATAGTTATCGGGGACAATACGTGTAACAGGGTCATGAGAAAAACAAATGTTACATATTTTACTTTTTATTAAAAGCCTTGACCATAAGTTGTATTCCATTTAACATATTGTCCTAGGTCATCTTGAGACACGCTAGGCTTTACTCTTTGTAGAGCATTTATAAAGTCTTGGATACAAACGGGTCGCACCTGAAATTTGAAATTTTATTAGTTTTTTCAGGTTATTGGGTTATCGTCAGCACTTTTTTACCTGAAACACAGGTTTGCACCTAGTTCAGGTTGATGTTAAACATTGTACTTTGCTTTAGACTTATGATATTATACATCTTGTAATCTACCTTTTTATAACAAATAAACATTTTTTTATCGCCTTTGCTAAGCGGGCGGGGCCAGTGTAGTGTGAGATCTGTGTGCCTAGCACGAACATTATCGAGAAAGTATTCGTATCGAGATCGAAAGCATTTTCTATGGGATTTGTACAGCGCCCCTACCGTGCGTAAAAGGAACTAAAAATCGCAAGCACGAATGATTTTGACAACTATCGTATAGTAATCGTATCGTGTTGCTATCGAAACTTAGAACATTTTGACACAAATTGGAAGCACGAACGATCTTTTGACGTATAGTAACGTAAGTTTCGAAGGCTGGCTATCGAAAACTGTCGAAACATTTGTCACTAAGAATTTGACGGTGAGAAAGGTTTCGAAATATTTCAATCGTGTTTTATATAATATATTATAAGGTTTGTGAGTATTCTTTACGAGTGTAACATCATGCAAAGACCGCCGCTGTACGAACCAAGTTGGAGAAATAATTTATTTGTGGCTATTTTACTTGGAGATGAAGAGTCCAGAGAAACTTCGTAAGTACCTAAGTACCTACCTATTCAAGTTGTGTTTCACTTAATATAGACATATGTATTCAAGAAAATAATACGAATTAACTGATTATTCTAGAGAAATCGTGTGCCGAGCTAAATTCAGAAAGATATCTAATCCAATGGATATCACTGAAACGTAGTTTAGAAATACTAGGTACCGCCTAAATAAAAAAGCTTTCAAGTACTTCTGTGAGCAACTCCAACAAAAACTAACTTATCATGCTAAAATGAAATCAATAGGAGTCGAGCAGCGGGTGAAACCGCGAGGAAGTAGCTAGTATAAATTAGGTTTTCTAATAAGTATTTTTTTACAGGTGATTCTGGCTACCCACAGCGACCATGGCTAATGACGCCTACTCATTTTGGATGCGGTAGAGGGAACTCGTGGCCCGCACGATATACTGACGTAAAAGAAGAGGCGATGCTTGTGCAAAGACCGCACTCTGCATTATGCTCCCGAAAAATGTGTTTGACAACGGCTTGCTGCGTGTTGCATAATTTGGTCATAAATTTCAATGTGCCTGAGCAACAGTTAGATACAATAACAGCTGCAAAAACAGCATCAAGACTTGTCTCATACCTCATCTTCTGATATGAGACATGAAAATGATAGAAGCAATGATTTGATAAGTGAAAGGGCTTTAAGGAATATTCTGGTACAGCAAATAAATATACTACACAGATGACCCAAGTGTTTTATTATTATACATATAATCTAACTTAAAAACTATTCTTACCTATGTTTTTATAATAGGTAACTATAGTGAGACATTTTAAATTCAATTCTAACATAATCTTTCCTCATTCCAAAATGTAGTAATTTAAAATAAAACATGTAAATATACATTAATCATCTTTTTAACTAGATTATATTTTAATACATTTATTGCCTCTCTCATAAGTTCCAGCCACTGAGCCTGTAAAAGGAGCTCTGCATCTCTCTGTCTTACTCTTCATTCTTCTCGTCGTAATTCCAAACGCTCTTGTTCCATTATATCATATGTTTCCTCACGCTCCCTAGCAAACTCCCTAGGTTTCTTATCATTCTCTAAACACAATTTGATTAAACTCCCTTTAGATTTTTTTTTTTCGGTCGAGGCTTCCAGCATTCCTTTTCTAATGGAGGATTGGCGACTGGTGGTGTCGGTGAACGGCTGGCTTCATGGGTACTGCGGAGTGGTCGGAACACTGAAGGCTCGCTGCTTGTCACTGACATATTCCATGAAATCCACCATTAATTCGTATTGGAGCCGAGTCCTCCTCATTTTAAAATAAATTTAAACTAACCGCATAATAAGATAGCCGCATAATTATCTACAATCTACATTCTTTGTTTTGTTTGTTAAAAAAAAATACGTCAATAGCCGTCAAACGTCACCTTTGTCAAAAGAACGTTCGGAAATCGTAAAATATGTTACAAAATTTAAATAACCAAATAATATTTTTTTTCATAGATAAAGTCATTTTATATACTTCTTGACTCGTTTTAAGAATTATTTCACGTAATTAATATTTTTTCATTTAAATATAATACCACAAAAGGTGTCGACGAAGGTTGAAATATGTTTAAAATTAATTTTAGTTTTCAGACGAAATCTTTATGTTAAATTATGTTCAAGAATTCATTCAATTCGTTCACTTGGGTGCTTCTCTAGCTTACATTAGCATGACGTCACAAACGAATTCGATTCGAGCTCTCGCTAGACGATACGATAGGCTTCGTGCTGCGACATTCCGTTTTCGTCACATGAAGTATCGACGTCTCGATACGTTAACGTTACGATTACGATAGTCATTCGTGCTAGGCACTCTGTAGTTGTAAACATATCCCCCCTTATTACAAAACAGGTTTAAAACCATTAAGTCTGAATTTGTATATCGAATCCTATTCTATTTTTGTATTTCAAGTTGAAGGCCTTCAACTTAAAATACAAAAATAGGCTCAATGATGTTAGACTAAAGAAAAATCTTGGTTTGTAATTGTTTTTTTTTTTAAACATTGCCCCATTCTAGGATTTCCTCCTGTGTCGTTGGTGCGGTTACAAACACAACAATAGGCTGCTAGTGTCCAATGTTTTAAAACTAGCTGATTTGCTGTTGGACGAAAAGACAACACTCACAACTGACTAGTGGCAGTGGCTAGGAAATCAGAAGCCCTAATAGAGCGGGTCCTACAACTTTTACCTTATTTCTATCAATGCTGACGATTTGCGACAGTGGTACTGAGCGAATGGGCCCCATAGCGGCTTCCGAGCAAAGTGACTTCATATCGGCGCCGGAGTACCCCTCTGTCAAATTGGCAATTTCCGATATGTGCTGTGCTGTCAGGTCATTGGTTTCGTTCGTTAACAGGTTCGTTATTATCTGCTTGCGAGCCTGCAAAGGATTCAAATAATCCGTTTGAAATATGAGATGTAAAAGTTCGAAGTAATTTCACTGCGGTTTCGTGGGTTTCCCATTATTCTTACATTGCATATTCGTCCATACCCGGCTTATTGTATGCAGATGTAGTAGTAGAAGTGTAGTTATAACGGATATTATTTTTTATGTTTGAAGAATAATTATGTAGAATTAATAACACACTCACATCTGCATCAGGTAGCGGTATGTATAGTCGTTTCACAAGTCGCCTGCGCGCCGCCTCGTCCAACTCCTGCGGACGATTGGTGGCGCCCACTATCAATAGGCGGTCTTCTTCACCTGTTGTTACATTGCGTTTTTAATAATACTAATACTAAATACAAAATTCTCAACTACTGCGGTGCCTGGGGTTTCATAGTATACGTATCTAGCAATAGACACGGAATTTGATGACGTATCTCGTGCTTTTCTGGATGTTTTTGTTTTTACGATTTTAGGGTGGAAAATCATCAAATGAGTTCTGCTGCCCTGGGCCAAGAGGACCTACGGACTAAAAACCACTTGCGCACAAGTAACATGTTCAAATTTGCTCCTACAAGGACAAAATGAATAATGAATACATAGTAAAGTTTACAATAGAGAAGCTTATGGCCGATCGGTAACAATAATTCAACTCAATTACCAGTAGCAGCTCCATCAAACTGCACTAGGAACTCGGTCTTAATTCTCCTGGTGGCTTCATGCTCCGTATCGCTGCGCTGGGTCAAAAGAGAGTCGATCTCGTCTATGAATATTACCTTTGACAAAGAAAACAATAATATGTAGTGTGTGACAGCCATGCTTCGGCTCGAACGGGTCGGCCCGACCGGAGTGATACCACGGCCTCATAGAAAACCGGCGTGAAATAACCACAGCTTTGTGTTTCGCCGTGTGAGTGAGGTTACCGAAGGCCCAATCCTTCCCCTCTTCCAATCCCTCCTCAATACCTAAATCTCCAAAACCCTAATCCCTAAAAGGTCGGCAACGCACTCGTAACTCCCCCGGTGCGGTGTCCATGGGCGGCGCTGATTGCTTACCATCAGGTAATGCATCTGCTAATTTGCTGACCTGCTAGATAAAAAAAATATATGATCTCTATCGCCTATGACACGGATAGTACTCCGTGGAATTGTTCGGTTCGATCCCCGCCGAATCGCCATCGCTAATCACGAAAACACTTTCATCCCCATCATATTATAGGTAATATGTAGATGCTAGGCAGTCAAGATTTTCACAAAATTTGATCTTTCGGGGGCGGTGTTTCGATTGTTCTTCTATTTAAATTGAAGAAATTAAATTAAAAAATATATTAAATAGATCCAAGGGTATGATGCTGCGGATTTCCATAGGTGACAAGTGAGCTCGCTTGCCTCCTCCACAAAAAAACAGAAAAGGAAATCTTGGGTTTCATTTACCTTTTATAATTTTCACGGAAACTGAAATTGTGGTAATTTATAGACAATAAGCTTCCTGACCTTAGTTATTACATAGAACTTTTTGTCATAAAGGACAAAGAGAGGCTATAACTTCCACCTGTTTACTTTAGTAATACAAGGCGCGATGCTATGTATGTCCCATATCTAGAATGAATTTTAAAGTTAATACAATATTTAAAGTTTACATAATTATGTGGGTACTTACAGCAGGCTGGTGACACCTAGCGACAGCAAATAACGCGCGTACCATTTTCTCTCCATCCCCGATCCACTTGGAAGTGAGCGAGGACGCCGAGATACTGAAGAATGTCGCATTACACTGAGCAGCTACACATTTACCTAACAAACGAACAAATCTAGTTTATTGTGATTGGTAAAACATGGTTGGAAGTATATAAACTTTAGAGGTAATAGATTACGTCGAGGTCACCAGTTTAGAGGTATGAGAAACAGGGTGGAAAGTTCCTCATCCTCCATTGATAAGGAAGGATCCTCCAACCAGGCGAGAACTCTTATAGCGCGATGTAGACTCTTGCACGTGATTGGTGCTGTTATTAATGTAGTGCGCCAGATGTCGCTACAAAACATTTAAAATTGAATTTTTATGTTTCAACTTTCAAAGAATAAACTATCAGCACAAGTACTAGCTTATAATTTTCAGTTTACATAAAGAATTTTACAGACAGCTTGTAAATCAAGTTAAAACTATTAAGTACTAATGCCTACCCATGAATGGATTCACCCTCTGCTTGAATTTTTAAATCCTTCCTTGATAGATGGACTGACCCAAATCAATGCAAAAAGATTGATTAATCAGTTCTGTTTAATCAAACAATCAAATTGTAAAATTTTATGTAGTTTAGTTAAATGTATAAATATAGTTTCTATTTGGGTACTTGCTCACTTATACAGCAATAACTAAAGTTTCTAAGACTAAGAACAAATAGTAATACCTATTAAAGTTTTCCCAGTACCAGGTGGCCCAAATAAGAGGATCCCCTTAGGTGGCCGTCTTAAACCAGTGAATATGTCAGGACGGAGCAGAGGCCACACAACTGCCTCTTGTATAACTGACTTAGCTAGGTGCAAACCAGCTATGTCATCCCAACCTGAAACCACATTTAAAAATGAAATAAAAATAAATGAAATTGGTTTTTTATGTTATATCCTCATGGAAACCTTCATCACCAGGGGATTAGGGTTTCGGAGATTTTGTGATTTGGGGAGGGAAAGATAGATTGGGCCTCTGCTAACCTCACTCAGGGCCTTGATAATCAGCTGGATTTTGTTATTAATGATTTGTAAATAATTTATACTGACCTATTGGAGTGCCTTTATCAATAATTTCGCTTTCAATTAACTCAATCATTTTAGGATCAATGTGTTTGAGACGTTCATCTGTCACCTCAGGCTCTACAGTCTCCTGCTTATCCCTAGAATCAACAGCACATAGTATGACATTAAATATACTGGCAGAATGAGAATCTTCATTTTTTTTCCAATTAATTTGACACTTTATAGGTATTTGAAAAAAAGATAAAAAAAATTCAAGCTGGTTGACAAATAAATTGATTAGGTTCCACTACCCACCTCTGTGGACCAGAGCAAATATTGATGTAAGTTATACTTACTGAGCTCCTATCATAGGTGACACAAACTTAGCCTGAGCTTTCCTGGAAGTTCCCAGTGTCCTCTTGGCAGCTGGATTTGAGGCTAACAGTGTTTCTTTGGCAGTCTTGAACATGATCTTAGCCACATTACTCTTATGTGCTTTATTCTCTTCTTCTTCTTTTTCAAAGTTCACTTCCTCCGCTATGGGTGTACTGGAAATTGTTGGCTGTGGATGTCCAACAGCTTTATTAGGTTTTGGTCTACCAAACCTTGGCTTGAAAACCTGTTTCTGATCATCTCCAGACCTTGACTCTTGACTAGAACTGTCTACATTTAGGTTCTTGACAAAATAAGAATTACTTTTCATATCTGTGGTTTGTGCTTGTTTTGAAGATTTATCTGTTTCCGTTATACCTAGGTTACACATACATTTGTTTTTTAAAAACTGGCTTATGTCTTCTTTTGTGCTGGAGTTGCATTGTTCGCAATTTTCTATTGTCCGTTGGACAAGAGACTGCACATCATAATTGCTGTAATTACAAGATAATAGATAGATACCTAGACATAACTTATAAATTTCAATAGTAAGGTATTTTTAAACATAAATTCAGTCTCAGTTCTCATAGATTGCACTTACCTTAAACTACTTCTCCATGTTTTCATCTGACTCGTATCAGCATTTTGCAAAATATTGTTGGCGGAGTTAAGAATATGATTGATGGCATCAGCAGTCATCAACTCTTGATTGGTGTGCCAAACATCATTTAGCAGTACATTTGTTGTCATATTAGAGCCACTATTGAGTTAAAAACATCTTTTAAACCATTGCTTATTTAATTAAGTTAAGGAAGGATTACAAATTAAAATTACTAAAATTTACCTTGGAAAAGAGAGTTGAAGTTGTTGTAAAGCAGACTTGTTGGTAATAGTCAAATGATTTTCATATTCATCTTCAGGAAACAAACCCTCTATTTCGTTAGTCTCAAACATTTTTTGTTTGGTGGTAAATACAACAACAATATTTAAAATTTTTGTAAATAAAAGCTTTACTTTTAATATTTAGAAAAGTCTGTCAAACTTTGAAACTTATCCAAACATCAAAATCAAATTCAATTAATCTTTTTTTTTTTTTTTTGGAGTTTATGGCCTGGATAAATTCAATTAATCCCGCCAATCGTACCACAGATTAATATAAAAACCAACTGAAATTCACTAATAGTAGAACGATATTACTAAATATCGTCATTCGTCATTTTTTTTAAATAAACGTGCTTAGATTTTAGCTTGGAGCTGAGTACTAAGAACAACGTTCCACTCTAAAGGACAGGACAGCTGTCAAGAATCAAGCCTATATTGTTTGTCAAAGAAAATTGTCAAGTTTGTGAATGCTGTGTGAGTGCTTTCTGCGTTTTTTACAGAAAAATCCTATTAATCCGTGTTATAAAGATAATTAATATAAAAAATCCAACAATAAATCAGGCGTGTTTGCGAGAAGACCATGTGACTTTGTTCAATAAAAGTACTTTGAATGAGATGCAAAAGAGATGAGTTCGAAACAAACAATTTATCATGAAAAACAGGTTAAAGAGTTGTGCGCTTTACATGCGCTTAACAATTTATTCCAGGTAATGATTGAATTTTAATAAGTCCTATTGTTTATAGTCAGGTGTGACCGCCAAGCGCTATTGTTTGATACTTCATAGTTTCAAACTCAAGCCTGTTTCGTGGCTAATATTTTGCTTATTTTAACAGTGACTACGGTGATTAAAATAGTTATTATGTATTTCGTTTTTTAGATGCGAGCTACATATTCAAAGTCTGAGTTAGATGCAATATGCAGCAGGCTATCACCTAATGTGTGGATCAATCCACACCGCTCTATGCTGGGGCTTGGCAACTATGATATCAATGTGATAATGGCGGCTTTACAGAAAAAAGGTTGTGAAGCGGTCTGGTTTGATAAGAGGAAGTAAGTGTAGTTTAATGTAGTAATCCAACAAGCAATAATATTTTTAATATCTTATTAGAATATTGTACTGGTTAAAGATTTTCCAGTTTGAATAGTTAATTAATAAGATATCATTTCATTTGCTTATGTAGAAGGAATTTAATCCAAAGTACTAATTAAGTTTTTGTTTTGCCAGGGACCCTGGTTGTTTGGATTTGTCAAACATCTGTGGATTCATTTTAAATGTGCCATCGGATTATAAATTAGGGTTTGTGATGTTACCACTGAGACGTCGGCACTGGATCACAATAAGACAGATACAGGGCAACTTCTACAATCTGGATTCCAAACTAGAATCACCACAGTTAATCGGAAGGGTAATTATCATTAGTAACAATCTGCTATCACTTGTATTATGTGATAATGTTATCAACATAGGTGTTTCCATTAAACTGATTATGTAAAATAATAATTAAATGGAATAATTTTACATGTCATCTTTCCTTGTTTACAGAGTAGTGATCTTATAGCGTACCTGAAAGAACAGTTGGATAGCAAAGAAAAAGAGTTGTTTGTTGTGGTGAGCAAAGAAGTGGAGGAGAAACAGCTGTGGATGCACCAGTATACCATGGATAGCAACAACCAATCTGCACAAAACACAGGGCTGCCTCACACTGATGGCCAGTGTGAAAGCCCTGTGGACAGTGTATCCTCACTGTCACAATATGACTACAGAAACCGTGACGCTGAGTGCCTCAAATTGACAGAAGTGAGTAATTGTGTTGGCAGTGCATAAATTAATTATTAATGTGTGAATTTTAGACTTGGTAATACTTTCCTCCGACTGCTTGTGACCGCATAGCAATTTATGATGTGTTCACAGATTTTCTGTATGTGTGTTGTGTATTGAAAGATACATTTATAAGTAATGGTGTTGGTTTGATATACTGGCTGGCTAGCAATGATTGCAGTCAGTTGTCTCAGTACTTAAACAAGGTATTGTTCAGATTAATTTATTGATAATAATATATTTGTTTTTATATGCACCTTTTTTTTGTTTGCACAAATAATGTTGACATTGCAACATTTTGTTGTTTTTATTTAATTTTATTTTTATGTTTTATGAGGCCTAATGTTACAAATAGTAACTATCATTGTAAAACTAGATAGATCTTGCCTTAAACAATGGTCTTTTTATGGCAATATGTTGAAGACTGTAAAATTATGTAAGCCATCCGATCTTCATAGTTGTCTCTGAACTTGTAGAGGTCTTGATCTTCATAATAAATAGGAATCATAATAAACAGCAATAATAATAATAGATGTGATAGTGTTTGAAGCTATATCTGTTAAATGTTACAATAATATACTGTTTCAATATTATGCCAAATATGATAACCAAACTGTTTGATTCTGTATTTGTGGATAACTTGGCCAAAATAATAGATTAATGTTGTTACAGATAACTTCTGACTGTATATTTTGTTGACTTTATACATTATTTTCTGGTTACACACACTTTTCTTTGGTTGCATAATTTTGTTTCTTTTATTGTTTTACTTTTATTATTCTACTTGTCATCACATGGCTCTGTTCACACTCAACTATATTATTTCGTGGCATTTATTTTAAGGATTTTTCTATTGAAGATACCTGTAAGAATATGGAGAGTGAACAGGGCCTGCTATTTCCATGTCCTTCGTGATAAATTTCTAGTGAGTGATGATTATTTCTTATTGAATCATTACTGAACTTCTCATAAGTTTTCTACTATATTAAACTTTACTGTAAATATAAGATATTTTTCCAAAAAATCAAAGTCTGATTATTGTTTTTGATTAATATCCTTTCCTTTTCCTTATCATAGTTTCACAAAAAAATTCATGTGTGTATATTTTAGTTTAGTCGGAATTAGAGGAGAAAAGAAGTAACAACTATTTTAGACTTTATTATCAAAGAAGTTTGTACAGTTATTGTTCTTAGATATAATGAGTCTGTCGGGGTCGAGCCGCAACTCTTCCATGATGGCGTAGATTTGTGCGCGCACCGGAGCCTCGATCTCTCGCCGCCGACCCAGCACCCAAATGTGATCTGAAAGACATTATCATTCGTATTAATGAATATCCTCTTTCTAAACACAATAAATAAATTTTAATATATGTAGATCATCTTAAAATTTGTTAATGAAGAGCTTAGATTCTGTTCATAATTTTAATGTTTATTTGAATGATTTTATTACAGACTGTGTCGTGTATTCGAATACGGTAGTTTCCACCTAGTCAAATTCAATACTTTTATCCAAATGTCAAAAATGGTACTTTTCTATGAAATTAGTATGAAAAACTGAGTTATGACGTCATAGTATTTTGCGTCAAATAGCTTACTTATTTCTTAATAATTAGCTAACAAACATTTAAAACTTAAAACTTCTGCTAGTAACCTAAATAATTTCCTTAATAGATTAGAAAAATTACTTCAATATGTTAACAAAACTTATAATAAGTATAATGTAGTGTTAGCTGGAGATTTTAACATAAATGTTCTTAAAGAAACAAATATCACATCCGAATTTAAATGTTTACTTTTGTCTTATAATCTAAAACTTGCAATAGCTGAGCCTACCAGAATAATTAGCAATACATGTATTGATAATTTTGCTCACAACTACCGCAACAAATGTAAAGCGGAAGTGATTGACTTCGGTCTGTCGGATCACACAGCTCAGATATTAAAGTGCCAAGTCCAAAAAGTGTGCCTGATTAAGAGCTGGAAAATTAAGCGTAGAGATTATAGTGAGGAAAATCTTAAGAAGTTTGATGCTTGTATGGATAAACTGTCTTTCTCAGAGATGTATTCAGCTGTTGATCCAAATGTGGCCTACAATAACTTCATTGACTTATTTACACTATTCTATGATCTTTGCTTTCCGTCTAGACATATCACGATACACACGCACCGTAAAGCCAACTGGATAACACGAGGCATAAAAGTCTGTAGTGTCAAAAAGCGCGTTCTCTTGTGGCAATACAGAAAATTGCCTACCCACGCGAATAAAACAAAGTTAAAAGAATTTTCAAAAAGGTATAAAAGAGTAATAAAATTAACACAACGCGCTCAAAACAACTATTTAATTAATAATTCAGATAATAAGAGCAAATCGGCTTGGAACATTATTAATAGAACAAAATTAAACTTACCACAAAATACAATAAGTACTATTAAGTTAAATGACAAAACGATAACTGACCTTTATGACATATCAAATACCTTCAATAATTATTTTATCGATAAAATAGTACCTCAAAATGAATCACTAAAAATGCAGTATAAATCATACATGACCACTAGACAAAATTCAATGTTTCTAAAACCATGTCTACCAAAAGACGTCTTACAAATTATTAGAAACTTAAAAACAACAAATAGTGTAGGTAACGATGGTATTTGTACTAAAGTTCTGAAATATGTAGCTACGAATATTTCTCCACATTTCAGCTATCTCATAAACCTATGTATTGAAGCAGGGATATACCCTGAAAAATTAAAAACTTCTATTATTAAACCTATTTTCAAGAAAGATAATAGAGAATCTTTAGAAAACTATAGACCCATTGCATTAATTTCAGTTATATCGAAGGTATTTGAGAAATACATATGTAAAGAACTCAACAATTATTTGGAATGTAAAAATATTTTGGCAAGTGAACAGAAAGGATTTAGACAAAATAAAACTATTAACATGGCAATATATGACTTTCTAAAAATAGTTATGGCTGATGTCGACAAAAGAATACCTGTATGCTCAATCTTTATGGATATGACGCAGGCTTTTGACTACGTTGACCATGATATATTACTCGGTAAACTTTATCATTACGGAATAAGAGGTAATATTCTGAACCTAATCGAATCGTATCTTAGGGATCGCAATCAATACACTGAATTGACTACAATTAATGTTTTGACAAAAAAAGAAGAAACTTTTCGATCATGCAGACGAAAACTGAAATACGGTGTCCCCCAAGGTAGCGTTCTAGGGCCAACTCTATTCATACTATATATTAATGACTTGCCTAATGCCACTGACAATCCTATAGCTCTGTTTGCGGATGATAGTACAGTTACTGTAAAATGCACAAATAAAAACAACTACGAAAATGACATAAATAATACCTTGAGCTCCATCATGCACTGGCTTAATGTGAATAATCTAAAAGCAAACTTAACTAAAACACAACTAATGCACTTCAAACAACGTTTACCTTCACCCAACAATTTGAATGTAAATTATAACGCACAAGCCATTATAGAAACAAATAGTACAAAATTTCTCGGATTGCACATTGATGATAAAATGTCTTGGAAAAAGCATACTGAACAACTATGCAAACGTATGAGTAAATCAGCTTATGTCCTACATGAACTCGCACATAAAATTAATTGCAACTCACTAATAATCGCCTATCATGGGCTAGTAGCATCTGTTCTTAGGTATGGCATAATATTCTGGGGGAATTCAACCAATAAAATTCTTATCTTCAGGGCACAGAAAAGGTGCGTTCGGGCTATGTTTGGTTTAAAAACAACTGACAGCTGTGTACCTTTCTTCAAAAGACACAATCTTATGACCTTACCTTCACTATACATTTATGAAATCGCAGTCTTTGTAAAACAAAATCCTCAACGCTTTGTTTTATTATCTGAAGCTTATAATCGGCCACAAAGGGATGAGAATCGCCTATGTATACCCAGAACGAATACTGCATTAATGCATAAAAGTGTCTTTCACATGGCTCCAGCTGTCTATAATAAATTGCCAAAAGAGCTAAAACAAGCTAATATTCATATTTTTAAAAAATCTTTAAAACATTTACTGTGCCAAAAATGTTATTACAGTGTCTCAGATTTTTTAATGGATAAATTTTAATTTAGTTTATTTGTTGACTTATTTTAACGTATTGACTACAAATATCCATTAATTACCTACTCATGGACATCAATTTATTATGACTTATATTATGTGGTTTTTTTTTCATCTGACTTTTTGACGAACAATGTTGACATGTAATTCATTAATTCATATTCGCATTCCTAACTGGTAACTTGATTAATAATAATAAAAAAAAACTCAAACGATTAATAAACAATTATTTGTATGCCTAAAATAGGCTGATCATAGCGCACTCTAATTTAAAAATAATCAACCAAATGTACCTATGTATCACAAATAAAGATTTCATTTCATTTCATTTCATTTTCATTTCATTTCATTTCATTTCATTTCTTAGTGTATCGATCGATTGATGAATAAAAGTATAGTTATTTTTCAATATTTTTTTGTATTGAAACGTCGAATTAAATTATTTTTGACCTAGGAAACTACCCAATTACTTTTCCCGTCGCAGACTCGCAGGTCTGCAACAAGAAATTCCAAAAGCATTACCTACATAATTAATGTTATACAGGTGTTGTACCTACTGTATTTGTGTAATTAAATAAATTAAATAGCTTCTGTTCACCAAAGGCCTTGCCGGAAGTATGTACCAACTAGTTAAGGGAAATGAAATTTTATAATAGTTGTTGCGCGAAATCCTAACACATACCATAGGATAGACGGAGATCTCACAAACAATAGCTACTTAGATACAGCAACTGTTGCAAAAACGAAAGTTGATATTATATGTAGGGATAGGTATGAGATGTAACGAATACAAAAGTGGAACTTTCAACACGACAACATTTATTGGTGAAATCTTAAAAATCAAAGTTAATGTTTGTATTTCATACCTGAATGTGCAATACTGACGCTGGTACAAGACCAGACGATGGCGAACTGTTCGTAGTCGGTGAAGAGGATGTTGTATACGCCGGCGCCGGGAAGCAGCCGCCCGATGACGTACGGCACACGGTTGTTCAGCTTGTAGCGGAAGATTGATGACGCGTTGTGGCTCGGTATGCCGATGCCATACGTCGTTGATGGGTTGTTGGTCCTAGGTTATAGGAATTTAAAATAAGTCGTTACAAGATGTCGGTAGAAAAGATGGAGCACACTAGGATTTTCTCCTATGTCGTGGGTGCGATTTGTTGATCACACAAAGTGTTGTTCCGTGCGTGAGTCGAACACTAGCAACTGCGTCAACTGTGCAGTCAAATAGGTAGAGAGCAATTTTAATCAAAATAGCTAGAGTAAACGATAGGCCGACTGAAAGAAAGTGTACCTAGTCGTATTTTTATTATTTTGTAGTTAGCAATATCTAAGTATTTCTACATTGTGAATGGAGAACTCGTTTCGTGTATACAAACTCGAATTCTCAAATACCTACATAGGCAAGTACCTACGCATAGCGCCCTCTTCAATGTCAAGTAACGACTTAGAGATTTACACAATTACACAAACAATTCTTCAATCTGTGTCCGTATCGGGGTCTGCAATGGGGCACTGTGTCGACTTACCTACCACAAAATTAGGTATGTGCACCGATGACACTGATCACTTTATTCAAGAGTTACATGTGAGGAGGTACATATTTACCATTTGTTGACCGTATTAATAGTGATGAGCAAGTATCCCCTCTCGTTGAGCGTCAAGTGGAGCTCCGTGCAGCTCGCGGTCAGCTCCACCAGATAGAACGATCTCTCCACTTCGTACCAAGTGCCAGTCATCTGAAACAGTGACCTTTATGATATGAATGCATATAGGAACAAAGTTAATTTAGTTGGTAATGTAGGGCCTAAGAAATGGTCTCCTTTCTTTTTGAAGTACCTAGGTATGTTATCTCCGATCCCCGCAACATCAAGAAACCGGCAACGCACTTTGTAACTCGCCTGGTGTTGCTAATGCTATTCATGGGCGGTGCCGATTGCTTACCATCAAAGGTTGGTAATCCTAATCATCAGAAGAAAAGAGTGAGGAAGTGTAACGCACAGACGCAATCTAGACATGTAGGTTAGGTATCTACAATACGAAAAAAATGTTTCTATCTAAATTAATTTCGGTACCAATGAATTTAGATGCCATTCAAGGTCTTTATGTTTCCTGGCTCCGGGATAAAAATTATACAGGTAGATGCATGTGTATCTAAGTATCCATTAACATTTTGTACGGCATGGAAATCGAGTCGGAGACACGTTGTATAGCAACGGACTTCCTAGTCACTGCATGAAACATTATTGACAATTGCAGTCGTTTTGTAGACATTGCTACTTAATAGAAATGTTATATTTACATAACGCCTTTCAATCCGTCAAGAGGTTGGCGCAGGAGAAAAATAGGTACTTAGGTAGCAAACATCTTTTTTTATTTTATTTGGTCCACTGCACAGCGCTCTATACGTGCTTGCCTATACATATAGTTTTCACCAACCCATAGGTACGTGTGGAGTGTGCCATGCTTTGGCACGAAAGGGCCCGATCGACCAGAGTGATATATAGATACATAATATACCAAGCCATTCTTATTTTACATTGAAAATCAAAACTATGGTTTAAGGTGGCGTGCAAATATTTCTGCATGGTGACTTTTGTTTTGTTTTGTATTATTTACTTACTTATAAATGGACTGTATAACGTGTGAAGCACTAATCAATAATTATACATAGGAGTGATCACTGAATTGTTAAGGGCCTACTGAATATCAATGTCAAGCTGGAAAGGTCACGTCTGGTGAATTCAACAGTCCGTCCTTGCCGCGCTCAGATTCGGAACCCCGAAGCCTTTCTTTCCAACTGCATAATCGCTTCCAGTGCCTTACCGATTGCGAAACCGTGCACGAACTAAATAATGGGTTGGTGGAAACTGTCCGAGCAGTGGGATCGGAATTCTTTAAGACACCACGCCGAAACAAGCCTCAAAAGCTCTCGAACGGAACAATTAAGCTCCTGAAGCATCCAAACGAAATGAGATTACAGTCTTCAGCCGATATGTCAGAGTACGGTAACCTCAATAGGCGAACTTCCAAAGCCATGCGACGCGACTTGCCTGCATATAATACTGCTCGAATTAAGGAGGCCATCGAGCGAAACAAGGGCACAAAAGTCTTCGCAAAAATATCGTCTATTGGGCAGAGCCAAATAACGAGGCTGAAGACCGAGAATGGAATCTTTTCTTCGAAATCGGAGCTTCTGAGAGAGCTCGAGAGGTTCTATGGACAATTGTATACCTCAACACGGCGACCCATTGTCGGTACAGCTCGGGACCCAAGAGCTAAGCTGACACGACACTACGCCGAGGATATCCCAGACATCGGCCTGTACGAGATTAGGATGGCTCTTAAGCAGCTTGAAAACAACAAGGCATCGGGCGATGACGGAATCATAACAGAACTTCTGCGAGCGGGTGGAAAACCGATACTTGTAGTCCTCCAAAAGTTATTTAATTCCGTCATACTCGAAGGTACTACACCCGAATCATGGCAAAGAAGTGTGTGAGGTAGTTCAGCTATGTAGGTCCAGCTTCAAGAAAGAGGTCGCCCGAAGAATCCAACTCGGTGTCTTTTCATCGAAAATCCCACAGTGCCTGAAGACCAGGATGTTTGACCAGTGCGTGTTGCCGGTGATGACGTATAGTACCGATAAGTGGTCCTTACTTCTGGCCTTCTTGGAAAATTCAGCGTCACTCAGCGCGCGATGGAACGGGCTATGCTCTCTTTGCGCGACAAAGTTCCAAATGTGGTAATTCGCCAAAGAACCAAAGTCCCCGACATAGCTCGTAAAATCTGCAGGCATGGCAGTGGCAGTGGGCAGGGAACGTCCCTCAAAGGAAGGACGGCCGATGGACCCGAAAAGTGCTAGAGTGGCGACCAAGGACCGGAAAACGTAGTGTGGGCAGGCCTCCCGCTAGATGGACCGACGACATCGTCAGAGTCGCGGGAATGGATGCAGGTGGCAACTTGTCGTTCGACGTGGAAGGCTAAGGGGAGGCCTTTGTCCTGCAGTGGACGTTTTCCGGTTGATGATAATATTCAATGACTCCGCGTACCTACTTACACGAGGGTAACTAATTAAATTTTAAATTAATAAAGTTCACCGAACAATATTTCATTTGTTTCGTTTAATTATTCCAATGTTAGGAAAACAAAACAAAAGAAGTTACCTAAATCTATTTCAAAAACATTGAATACGAACTATTCATAACGGTTATAGGTACTTTCTAGAATAACGACATGCAGAAAACTAAATCTATAATTATGCAGATATCTGCATTATTATTGTTTTATAGTTTTAGTAAGCAACTACCTGCATTAGGAACAAATAAAACATAAAATAATTTCTTCTAACGAAAACGTCCTCTAAAAATATTTGAAATTAACAATTTAAAAGTACTATCATCTACATTATTAAATTGGAAATGTTGATTAGAAATTCATTCACAAGCAGTCTTTAATATAAATACATACCTACTGACTATACAAACGACTTTGACAACCGCAAAATTCTTAGCCAAAACATAGGTACCTAATAGTAATGTGTATTTAATTCAAATTGAAGAAACCTGCTATTTGTTACTCTGGTCCAACTATTGTATCTAAAGGTTATAAGCCAAAAGCGACAGTGGCGACAACTAATTAAAACTAAATGCACTTATTCAAAATCAAAATTTTAGCTTGTAAGATCTGTAAATAGAGTTAGCAATAAGACCAAACAAGAAGAAGGCATAGACTAGGAGAGTGACGAACCAAAACAGGTTATTTTGAATTTTCTGACTTTTATTGTGTTTACAATTCTATAGTATCGCTTCCTTCCGACTAACGTACGAGCTATTAACTAGCCAGTAATGCATTATGATAAACGTATGCGGCTGTGTGTTGACCGCTTGACATTCGGACTTAAGCAGGGCGCAAGGTGACTGTTTACAATGTTCCACATCTGAATATGTAGACGGAACGTCTGCGCTACAAGCGTTGCTTGCAGGACTAACCACGAGTGCTTTGTGGGTACCAAGCGACTTGGCGTTTGAGCATTTAACGAGATGATGAAAATGATAGTCACTGATTGTATTTGATCTTAATGAGATGGTCGCTTGTCTAGCACAAATTGGTATCTTCCTACCAAATGGACTACATGGTGGACAGTTGAATTACAGCTGTCCAATAACAAGGAAGTGTTATAAATGCGTGTTTATGTTCACCTTCGTGTAAACTACTTCGTACTTCATTTACATACCGTATTGAGTTGTGAGTAGGTATTATTTTGTTTCCCCCAATACGAGCATTACAATACAAAAATGGGAGCGTGGACTTACCCGCTGTATGTCGAAGTTTGGCAGCGGCGGGTAGACGGGACACTTGCCGAGGCCGGTGCTGATGACGGCCTTGATGATGGTGCAGAACAGTACACAGTATATCCTGGAAGGAGCCAGCCTCGAGCCCCCCATCGCACTCGCACTGCCGGTACTGGCGCGTGATGTAGGGCGATCAGTCGCGCAGTGCACCGCTTGTTATGTAAACACTAAACATTATTTGTACAACACGAGATTGGACGGGCAGTCGCCGCGCCCGCGCTACCCACTGCACGGAATACAATCGATCACTTCGATCGTTATTCATTAACGTTACAAGCCGCCACACACGTCACGACACGACCACGGAAACGACACGCGCCGTGACGTAATTACTTTGTCAGAACATCGTAACTCTGATGAGGTTAGTTAGACTAGTTGGGCACGGTCAGATGATCAGATACCTACGTAAGTTAAGTCAATATTTGCCAATTGAATTATGAAGCGTATTGCATGTTGTGCAGAAATAACATGCAAGTAATCGGTAATAGTGCTCCGGCAATTATCTTTTACAAAACATTCAGTATATCTGTTTTTAGTATGCAATATTCGTTTATGATAGACAGAATTATCATAGGCAAAGTTTGGGGTTTCGTAAGACCATGTTTAATTTTGATGTCGAATGACGATTTTGGATTTAGTAGGTACTATCTATTTGTTGGTGCTAGTCATAGTACTTATTAAACATTAGGGTGCCTCTTCGTTTAGGATTCAGCGGAAGGAAAAGTCCGTGTGTCGTCACTGCGAGAAATACCCGGAGGATACGGAGGCTAGGTCTGACTAATGCCGTCGGTCGGGGACGACCTCTCACTACCCAGCGTAATAACATCCATGCTGGGAAGTGAGGAGGCATGGACAGCGGTAGCCTCCTTCTGTGAGGACGTCATGTCACAGAAGGAGGCGGCGGAGCGCATGCGGGAAGAAGACCCTCTCGCAGCGCCGCTCCACCAACGACGAAGGGGCGCACGAAGACGGCGTTTACTACGTCCGTCCTCATCTACTCCAGGGGGTGATCAGCGGGCGACAAGCGCAGGGGCGCAAGCGCCAGCATCGCACGTATCACCCGTGCTCCGGCTATCATAAAGGCTCCTCCCTAGTAGGGGGGAATTGAGGGGCCCGCCATGAGGCCCGCCGCGATATATAACTTGCCCCGTCGCGAATCTCTGAGAGAACTATTTAAAACGATAAATATCCTGACGGTGCCTTGTCAGTTTATATATGAAAATATTATGTATGTAAGGAAAAATTTGCAATTATTTGAAAAAAGAAGCGATAGACATAATTTTAATACAAGAGGCAAAGATAGGCTGGCTGTGCCACGATTCCGTCTGTCCAAGGTACAGAAATCCTTTATGGGGTTCTGTGTAAATTGTTACAATAAAATAACAAGTACTGTATTGAATCTTAACGAACGAAAATTTAAAACTTATATTAAACGTGAATTGTGTAGACAGGCATACTACAAACTTTCAGATTATATTGAGGATAAGAATGCCTGGCAGCGTGTTGATTCGGCTCCACTGGACAATACTCAAATATAGTCAGCAGTTAGGTAAAATTCTCAAAAATAATGCATCCTTAATTTATATATCCAAAAAGTTTATATAGAAGCACTCTTAAATATTGTGAGTACGCATATGTGAGCGCCATGTTCGAGACGACAAAGGAGTAAAATTTTATGATAGGTCCCCTCATTTGTTCTTTTTTTTAACAACTTGTCTCTGCATTGTTCTCACATAAGGGTACACTAATGTATACTATAAATGTTATATTATTGAAATTGTAAAACAATTTTTTTTTAAAAAAAAGAGTAACGAATGGAGTTTCTTGCTCGTTCTTCTCCATTCGAATCTACAATTTGGAATGAGCACCTAGCTTCACTGACGAACAGACTGACAGACTACTTTTCTATTTTGACGTTTCAAAAGTACCTATTGATGGTTTAATTGGAATAAATGATTTTGACTTTGACTTTGACTTTGAGGCGGGCAGTCGCTGGTGGGGGCCTGGACGACATGGATTCCCAGACCCCCTCCACTCAGGCGAGGCCGGAGTGCCACTGGGTTTTTTAGTGGGTATACCGGGAACGACTTTACCGGGGAGTCCCACATAACCCTCTCCCGTCCCCCGACGGGATGGGTATGCGTAATAGCATTTTTCCCAGTGCCGCAAATAAAAGGTCTGACTAATGCCGTGCCCTCAAGGAAGTGATTGGCGGTGGCGAACTCTCACATCTGACCAGGACCATTGGTGAAGGCCTTTGTGCGGAGCAAATTAAATAAAAAGCTGTCTCCTCCTTCTTCTAGTCTCTGCAGTCATGCTTGCAAAGGAGGCAAAACACGTGAGAGAACTATCCTTTAGAAACACCGTAAACACGGGTCTGCGGACGGCGAGCCGTCAGACCATGATAGATGGTGCCCATTGTACTGCGTCCCCAATCCCGAGCAGGAGAAAGAACAGTGGTTTTTAAGTAGTAGTAGTAAGAGTCTGACATTCACTCACACATTTCCTCTCACCTACCCGCAGTGTGAGAGAAGATTTAAAGATTTTCCCTTCAGAAAAAAAGCTATCAAAAACAAACTGATGAATGTAACTTTGTGTGTATATTAAGAACATGGTCTTAACATACGTGTGTGTGTGTTAAAGACCTTATGCGTCATGAACACCATTATTTTGCCAATTTTTGGAAACTTTTTCTAATTTTATCTATTCAGTACTATAACACTTAAATAGATATTAATCGTGAAAATCTCTTGAAATATAAAGAATGAATGAATATGTATGTATAGTGAATTAGTAGTAGGTACGTGCTACATACATAATGCAAAGGGTGGTCACACAAACACAGACGTTTTCAAACGATTGTATTGTTCTTATAATTAGAGCGTGATATTTACAACTGTTCGGTATTTATACGGAAATATACATCACAAACAGCTTACAGCTAGACAGACAACGATATACCTGAACAAACAACTTGGTTGCAACTTAACAACAATATAACGAACATTTTCACAAACTTACAATTATATTATGTATGTATTTATATTTATAATGTATAAGAAACACACCACCTGAATACACAGAGTTACATTCTGAATACAGCAAAGCTCAAACAATATTTAATCCAAATTATAACTTACTGATCACAAAATAAAGTAGACTTTTGAATAACAATGAAATATGACACAGACTATTTATAAAAAAATAATATTTAAGAGTTTTTAATACAACATTAGCCATGAACACATACAGTTTTCAACCGTATCCTCAATAGAAAAGGTGCAATATGGAATACCAACGTAAAAATTAACTAAAATTATGTAAATAGGTCAGCAATCACCATTTTATATTCAGAGCTATATCGGATTTTTCTACAGCGTGATAAGTTGTGTGTAACATTGCTTTGGCCTTGTCGGAGTCTCTGCCGTCCAGCCAGTCAGCGTACAGTTTGCGTACCAGCTTGCTATCAGCGGGACTGGCCAGTGGAAGCTGGGAGTACATCGCTTCTAACTGAGCTACCAACTCGCGCCCACTCTCGCCTGTCAAAGGTCGCACTTGAGCACCGCCGTTTAAACAACCTAGAACATAAAAATAAAAATATGTTTTTATTGTCACCGTCGTCATTTGGCAGTTTATCGCTGCACAAAGACTTTATTAACAGAGGTTGTGGACGTAAATGCCGTGATGTATTTGGAGCAGGAGTAGTTTGTTGTCGTTAAAAGTCCGTCTCTCCCTAAAACCCCCACCCATACCCCCTACCCCCTACTTGACGGGTGTTTTTTTTTTAAATTTCAGATTTATTGCAATAAAAAGTTGAAATGACTTATTTTTAGCCAGATAAAGAAGGTGTACAATTCCAGGCTTTGGTATATCAATCAAATTTTGATTATTCAGAGTTTAAAATAATGATGCTGCCTCACGAGGTAATCGTGCTAGTTCGTAAATACAATACCGCCGACGTATCTTGGCGAGTCTGAAGTTAGCCGATTAGCTGCGTAGTACACAATTTTGTTCCTAAAAGATCCATTGCGCAGACAAACGGCTAACTTCAGACTCGCTAAGATACGTCGGCCGTACTGTAAATATGAGGTTTTATAGGTACTGAGTTCTGTATCTTTTTAACTTCCAAAAGTGCTTATTTAATTGGAAAATAATAAACTCTACTGCATTGTATCTGTGTGTAAGACAAAGGTGGGAGTTTGTTATGAATATTTACATCATTCAATGCAACGTAATGCACAATAAAGTGTAATCTATTACAATGCATTCCAATGTGTGTCTTATCATAAATATTACCATTCAAACAATTGCATATTATAAATTTTTCTATAAACATTTTACCGGACATTCCTTTAGTAATTTTTTGCGTACAGTTATACAACTACATATTTTCGTTTCTGAATATTTGTAAGCATTAATGAATGTATTATTGAACAACTTCTCAAGAATAAGGTTTAATCAGGTGGGTTGATTAGTCCCGGGACTAAACATTTTAATGGATTTAGAGCATAAAGCAGTCATGGTCATGCAAACTGAAATACAAAATATCAGCTCAGATATCTGCTAAAAATTTTGTATCAAGATTCCACTTCAAAAACATAAGTAAATAAATACATTTTATTTTGTTTTTGAGAGAGGAACATCATCAAATGCCTTCAACCGTCCAGGGTGGGCAGGTCCCTTCTGCCCAGACGTGTTATGTGAAAAAGGGCACACGATGGTGTTAGGTTGGTGCTCTTGTAGGCACACAACAATTTTATTGCAAAATTGAACTCTACCATAAATCACCAAGGTTCAAAATCTGTGTTAGAAAATTGACAGATTGGGATTGGGACCTACATATTATTATAGCAGATTTTCGATCGACAATCATCTTTAAGTACTGGTTATAAAGTATAATATTACCTGAGGGGCACGCCATGACTTCTACGTAGTGGTAGGGCGACTTGCCACGCTTGAGCTTCTGCACCAAGTTCTGAATGTTCCTGAAGCCGTTGGCTATGGCGAACCGGAGCACTTCCTGTCCGTCCTTCTCTAGCGTCACCTCGCGAAAGTCTGGGTTCCTGTTTAAACCAGAATAAATGATGTACCATGAATATTTGAAGTTTTTTTCATTTTAGTCAAGAAGTAGAAATTACGTATACGTAATACGTAATTAATTACATTTTGGTATTGCACGTGACGCTGACAGCTTACCACAAGGTCTGTGATTTTGAATAACATGCCATTAAAAAAAAAAGGATTAGAAAACACCCAATGCTTTTTATATGTGATAGGTTGGATAACGAGCAGAGTGAATACTTAGGGTAGGGATAATTAGGGTTTTGGAGTTTTGAGAGGGATGGGAGGGGAAGGTTTGGGCCGCCAGTAACCTTATTCACACGGTGAAACACAACGCTGTGGTTGTTTCACGTCAGTTTTCTGTAAGGCTGTGGTATCAGTCCTGTCGAACCGACCCATTTGTTCTGAAGGCTCTCCCACTCTTAGAACAATCAAAAGTGCAAGGATTGTCTAAGGTAGCGACCCCATTTCCTGTCCAACTAGCAGACGGATACAAACATGCAGCTTGCATCACTTTGCAAACAATGCAGCCATTGACCAATTACTGGAAGTAATGGGGTCACGTGCTCAGGTTACACGTAAACATATCGTACGATGCTTTGCGACACTACGTACTCAATGGACATTGGTCGCTGTTACCTACTAATACTAGTTTTATACTTAAAAGGCAAGTTGGTGGTCCGGTGGTTAAGGCTTCTCATGCTTGAGTGTTTCTTTCTGAAAGTCATCATATGCATTCTCTCCCACCCTTTTTTCTGGTCAGGGGAAAAACATCAAATGACTTGTCCCGCACAGTTAGTGTCTGACCCTTACTTACGACCAATCCCCCCCCCCCCCGTCTCTTGCTCTGGGCCGAGGCCGCGATGCCTCCTTGCGCTTTTCCCGTAACCCAGGCTAAACAATAGCCCTATAGGCCCCCGTCTGTGGTGGTCCATTGGCTCTTTGAGGCGCGCGCGGAACGCAGAACGGAGGAATGTCAGACTTGTACTGACTCAAAACCAAACCGTTCCTGCTCGTAATCCGAGCCGGGACCGCGGCACGTTATAGCGCTTGCACCCGCACTCATGCACGAGAAGATTGGTTCGAAATCTGGCAAGTACTAATGCCACTTTTCCCGAGTTATATGTACTTCCAAAGTAAGTATGATTCCATTAATTTCTAAATCAGTAATTGGCAAAAGCAGATAGCTAAACAGTTCGTAACAGACACTCACAATGGAGTGGAATTGTAGGCCTCACAGTGGATTTAACCAGGGATGTGACACCTGCGTAGGTAGTAGGTTTGTAGGGAAGGAGGAAAAATTGCAGGTGTAGTAGTCACTAAATATAAGATACTGATATTACTCATAATTCAATGTCTGCCCCAGTTTGAAAGTGAACAATTAAGGGACGTGACTGAAGCGTAACCCGTGTCGCGGGCTCAACGCCGGTTCCTCAAGAACGGAAAAAACTGCGAGTGATCCATAAATTGTAGTATTCCACAACAAGTTTGAAATAACTCTCAACCCACCTTAAATTTTTATACACAAGTTGCGCATTAGTCTCTCCAAATAGCTGTTCTGCGGCGTACAAGAAGACATGATCAGCATAACCGCCGGAACCTGAGCCGATGTGCCTCCGCAGCGCTGGCGGGGCCTCACCCAGGCTTTCCCAAGGCCAGTCCAGCTCGGCTACAGGTACGTCACTTAAGTCCTTGCTGCTGACGTCTAGCATTTGTTCCAGCTCAACTAAACAGGAATAGATTGTTTAGAAATATTAGTCAGTTTTTAGATTGTAGGGCATTTAGGTCTTTGGTTATCAATGGGCACTTAGAGGCTGATGATGATGATGTTGGATTATTCCTAGATCGAGTAAGGGGTGAAAGTCCAAATAAGAAAAATAGAAACCGGGTTTTCAAGCCTCTGAAGTCGGACTTTTGACTACCTGTTGCATGCTTATAGGGATGTGTGGTAAATCTTAGATGTATATTATAAGCAAACAACGTGAATGTAGCAAAACAACAGCCTAACTTTTATTCCACTTTCAAAAGTATTTATAGACAGACAATTCTTTTTATACCATAAACATATCTAATGGCGTTACGAGTATCAATTCGAACAAATACTTTTATTATTTTGATACATCATTTCAACATATATACATATATACTATTACCTTATGAGGTAGGAAGTGCACCCAAACAAAAATAAAACAAACCTTATCAATACTTTTTTTCTTAGCCTCATTCGAAGATACTTAGGACATAATGTATATCTTTTTCCAATTCACTATCATCAGTCTCATTCTAAGTCTCTTTCAGTGTAAATATTTAAGAAAAAAAAATAAGCTTTTAGCGCTTACTTGCGGTAATAACACAATCGACATCGTGGCAGCTGAGCATTTCGTTATAGAAGTCTTCTCTGGACGCTTCCAGCTTCTTATCATAGCATGGCATGAAGGTAACATGGTAGATCTCTCCGGCGGTCAGCTCCCGGCACCTAGAGAGGTACTGTTTGACCAGGGACCCCATCACTTGCTGCGGCGACTTTGATGTTGAAATGTATGGGAGGATGAAGTTGCCGTGTGTTTTTTCCGCGTAGCACACCCATCCTGTCGATTTGGATTATGTTTGCTCGTTAGACTCATAATTTAAAATGAAAATTATCTAAATATAATCTTTTTCATGAAATTAATAGATCATAAAAAAACCAGTACAGTAAATAAATTTTCTTTTATATTCTTATATAAGCGCCGCAAATAGATATTGCGATGGAACCTTGTCCCAATAACAGCTGCGCGACGTCACCCGATGAAAAAAGTACAGATAGAAAAATAAAAAAATAAATAAAAATATAACTTTCAATTCACTATAGCATTATTACGAATATCAAGAGAACAGATACTAACTAAAAGATCGATAGAGAAGTCGATTGTAATTAATTAATTTATGAGGTTAGAAAAACGTCGACTACGTCACCAAGATGGCCACCAATGGCTTATACTAATTCTGAGGTAACTTATAGTCTCATTGAAAGCAGCAAGTTACCATAGCTTATGCTTAAGGACATCTATAACACCACATGAATCACCATGATCCATTGCTTAATTTTTTTGGAACCAAGACACGTTAGGATTTTACCTGGACAAGAGCTGGCAAGCATAGGCAGCTGTTTAGAACTGGGGTCAGTCTGCTGGTTCTGATAGCGTTGCAAGAACTCTTGTTGTGCTTCCAGCAGCGCCAGGTCTTCAGCTATTGTCATGTCCAGCACTAAGTCTGCTCCTAAACTCTTGAAGTACCCTGTTCAGGTGAAATAATAACTAGTAAGTTAAAACATCCTGTATATTGTAGTATATATGAGGCTGCATGTTGGTGTCAGTAACTTATATTATATGTTTTGTTTTTATTATAAGCTTTGGGTTGCACATTGTTGTGCAACATTCATTTTTTCCAGTCATTTTGGATTATTAAGGTCAATACAAATTATTAGTTCAATTAGGTAATGTGACAACAATCAATGTATGCAAATCTGATATGGATGAAACTGCTGTTCTCCATAGGAATCAGCAATAGAGGATAGACTGTTAGACCAACACTTTTTAATATTTTAAATGCCTTTAGTGGTCTAAGTAAAATAAATGATTTTACTTTTAACTTCCAACTATTATTTTTATTTTTTTTGCCTACCCTACCTTGCCTACTTTAGGATTTTATCCTGTGTCATGGGCTCAGAATACAGAACAAACCAGAAGGCGTCAACGCGCTTCATATTAAAGCCACTAAAACCACTCTTAGCTAGAGTAGAATGAAATTTCTACGATCAGTCAATTTTGGCACATGGCATGTCGTGACGTATTTATATCAATTTTAATTTCATTATGCAGTCTTGTGTTATTCCTACGAGTAAAAATGGAGCTGGAATTACGAAAAAAGAGATTAAAATAAGATAAATAAGATTACATTTCATCTGTAAGCATCGACTGCAATAGTATATTTAATTAATTATTGATTTTTTTTTACCGATTTATTTTTCTATGACAATGATGCAGCCATTTTGTGAGTGTTGTCTTTTTTGGTGTAAATTTTACCCACTTATTTATTTGTTTTGAGTTATTTTGTTGTTTTTTTTTTTAGTTAAGTTTTCCAAAGAAAAATATCTTACCCCCCCTCCCCTTTAGTAAAATTACCCCAAACCAAGGGAATTGTTCCCTGTCGGCAACACTACGCGGGTGGGAAGTGCGGCTAGCGGGGGGACTGACATATTGTTTTTGGACACATTAGACAACATGCAATAATGAGTGAACGCGGATTCTGGTTTGTTCTGTATTCTGAGGTCATGGGTATGTTTACAAACATACTAATATACATATAAAAACTGATTAACAATAAATATTAAAATTATGTTTTGTACACATTGATTGTATTGTAAATTAGAGTTTTTTTTAAATGTTAGACAAAAAATATAAAAGCACCTGCTAACTTGTGAGTGGCTTCCTCTGGAGTCAGTTTGTAGCGGGCTGCCAGAGACAATGTAGGTTGTGGTGACAGGGACACCACTATCAAACCCACATCTCTACTCAATCCTTTGTTATCTGTGTACTTCTTCTCCGAGAATACTCTAAAATGGTGATGAATAAACATAAAATAAAATAATGTTTTAGAAGAAAATTTAGCTCAGAAGATTTCTTTTAATATAGCAATGAAGGGAATTGACAGATTATGATAATATTCAATTCAAATTTTCATAAGTCTTTGGGATGTTGGAGAGTAGAAAAATTAAAACTATGAACTTTATTTATACAGTTCATACAGGTTACATTGCATTATGGACATTAAAGGTAGGGAGTCAAAGATTATTATTGTGTGACATTACTAACCTTAGCAGTTCCTCCTGACTTTGCTTGGTAACTAGCACACTCTCAGCTGACGTGATGCACCCACTGCAAGCCAAACAGTCTGCTAATGTGATCTCTACCTTCTGAAGTTTCTGTTCTCTACCACTTGACACATCGAAATAGCCATCTTCACCTATCTTTATCTTGGCACCAGTTTTTGTTTTTGTTTTCTCAATTTTTACTGGTTTTATACATTCCTGTTGACAAAGATTAGACAATTACAATGTTGACAAATATTGTTCCTATTGGAGTCTTACTAGAATTGAATTATTTTAATCGAGTATGGATATTATTATTTCCTGCACAAAAGAGCAATTAATTTTCAATATTCAAATGAATTGGCAAAGGAAGAACGAAGCTAATATTGTCAATAAATTACAAAAACATTGAATGAGGTTATAATTGATTACATACTTGTGACGGTGTAATGAAGTCGTCTAGATCAGTTAACTGCAAAGCACCACTAAATCGAGACGCCATTATTATATTTCTTCCGTTTCAATTTGTATAGAAAATTTATTAAAACCACTTAATTAGCACAAAATAAACACCAATATCACGCAGCTGATTTTGACATTTGAATGACAGTTGACTTTAATAGTGTTGAAACGAATTAAAATAATTTTCTACCAAAATAGTAAATAAGGTACCATAATCCATTATACTTGACAGTTGGCCAATGGCAAATGTGGGCTACGGTTACATGTTGATGGAAAAGCTTTTTTTTTTTTTTTAGTAGGTAAGGTCATCATCATCGTCATTATCTTTACTGACTTCCCTCTGCTGCGAGACGTCCACTGTCAACAACTGAACAAAGGCCTCTCCCTTAGTCCTTCACGTAGAACGACCACTCGCCACCTTCATACATTGGCTCCTTACGACTCTGACGATATCGTCAGCCCCCTAACGATGTTTTCCGATCTTTGGTCGTCACTCGTAATTCGAGCGACCTGGCCTGCCCATTGCCACTTTAGCCCGTAGATTTTATGAGCAATGATGGTAATCAAAGAATTTTAAATATTTCTTTAATTTTTACTAGAAAACAGACTATCCGCCTCATTTGCTGGTTCTTTATTGTATTTAGGTAACCAATAGGATTGTGAGTTGTTGTGGCCTTGAGGCTACCCACTTCGCATACGCATGCTGCTTCGAAACCTGGTAAGTATCAATGTGGCTTTTCGAAGTCATATGAACCTGAAATCGTCAATAATTGAATTGAATAGAATGCTTCTTCATTCTAATTGATGCTTGAATCTTAGCTCTCCGTGTCAGAGGCCTTAACTTAGCAGTAGGCACACAAAGGCTGGTAATTAAAATGAAATAGGCTGTTGATTAGGTACTGAATGGTAACTAGATAGGTACAATACTGTAATGTAGAGTCCACATATAGATATTATAAGTATAACTGATTTACTAAGTAGCAGATCAATAAGTAATAGAACTAAACTACGCAGAAAATAGAGGTTAATTTACTTAATATTAGGTACCTACCCAACTTGCTTGCTAGCTTTATTTAAAAAGTTAAACTAGCAAGCAAGTTTGAAGAGAATGCTAATTGCATTATGTACGCCCTATGCACAATTTTCGGCTGTGCATTAAGTTTTTAAATAAATGAGAAGAGTTACTTACTGTTACGGTATAATATTTTTCGTAACAACTGTACACTACAACAATGATGTCATTATAACAAATTACAGGTTCAAAAAATGCTTACCATTTTAAACTAAAGGCAGTCGCTCCCACGCACAGCCTTGGACATGTTCGATGCTTATTATTTACTACCATTAGTAGCTTAGTGACCAGCGACACTGGCTGGCCACTCTCGACAGTACCACAGTGCAGTGTTGAGAAAAATCAATCAGAATCTTCCCGCCTCCCGTCGGTTTCCAAGGCAACGGGTAAACAGCGGGGAGACGTTGCATCGCTCGGTCCACAGAAAGACGTGTTGTGTTTCGATAATTTTATTTTGCATGTGATTGTGTCACGTTTTGATGGATATTTGTGAGTTTTGTTTACAATGGGTGACGAGGTGCGTGTTCCTGGTGCGGCACCTGAGAAAGTGATACACACGTATCCTCTGATAAGGGTAAAAATGTTTATTCCTTTGCTTACTCCGTAAAAATGTTGATGTCATTGTGTACCAAATGTCATAACAATCAGCCTACGCGATTTAAAAAATAATGCACCTACCTATATAATTAATATTTATAGTACCTACCTATCTATTATGAGTTAGTAGTTCTATATCGTAGGTCTCTAGTTAAATTAGTGAACTTGCTATTGCCAAAAGTAGCATAGGCAGAGGTCATAGGACTCATAGGTAGGTCGTTGGCAATGCCCATTCCTGCCAGTTCCGTTGACCTGATTAACGATATATCTAGGCAGTAACTAGGTCTAGGTTCGTCATCGTCTTAACACTTAAGCGCTACATATCTAAGTAAGTACCTACGTACCTACTAATTAATGGATTACTTAAATGTAACTCTGCTAATTAAAACCCTGATTTTCGCCATCGTAAAGAAATTTGTTTGTGCCACTCATTAATTACTCGCATCATCACGCATTATGGAGACAAAAATTTAGAAGACATCTTCATCTAATCAATATCGGATATTATAAGAGGGTAGGTAGGTAGGCACCAGCGTATTAAAGCAAAGTTGTAGTTACCTATACCAAACTACTGAGAATTAAGTCAATTCCTAAAATAGGTCATTAAAAGAAAAAGAAAAAGACTATTACCTAACTTTAACTTTTATTATATTCATAGAATTTTTCTAAGTATGTTATATTCTAATATTTCTATATAATTGATCTTATATGGATTGTTACTTACCTAATTCCGTTTTTGAAAAAAGAATACCTTGCACTTCCTCGATTTCGCTATGACCGAACTAACAAATAAATGAATGCTTGATCTTTACCGATTCAATTATTAACACAAATTTAAAACAAAATCTTTGTTAATAAAACGCAACCCCTAATACTTTCCAAATAAATAGTACTTACCTAAAGTTTTGTTATTTATTGTATTCTTGCTAGTACCTATATATATCGATCAAACGATGAGGATATTAAATTTCGGCGGAGTCAAGGCCCCTGATAGGAGTGGTACGACTACTTACCTACGTCTTGGCTCGCTTCAACCGACAACGCATCGTTCGACCGGAACTCTTGGCTATAAAGTTACATACACTCGTACATTGATCTTACAGATTGATGTGTGAATGAAAATAGAAAACAACTACAAAAATGTAGATTAACACGCCGCAATTAAGTAGGTGAACCAAGAAACAAAATATGTACCTACTGACCATTTTTGCACAGTATATACTATCTACCTATTTTATTCGGCAGCAATTAGGTACAGATTCTTACCTATGTAGGTATACCGCAGTCCTCTACTTAATTATTTGTAGATATTTGCAAGTCAACGTTCCGGCAAGAAATTTCTCCCGTCCAAATATCTCCGTAAATTACTTACGTATGGCGGCAAGTAAACACATTTGTTTGCCCGACAGCTCTCCAACTAGGAGCGTTCGATCGCAATGTTTCATCTGTTTGTTTTGCCAGGTGGATCCATTCTCATCTCATTCTATCGCCGTACTATAAGTGCCTACCTTGTTTTAACAATCGGTTATGTAAACTACATACCTATTCAACTTAACTAATGGCTCCTTCTTTAGAATTTTTTAGGATGGACTTATTTAAGTTTGCAAGCATTTGGTTTAGATTTAGCGTGTGGATTTAGAGTAGATTTGAAGAGTTTCTCGAAAAGTTATCCACATTATAAAAGGATTTAGGAAATAATTGTGAAAACTGTATAAGGTAAATGCACCTTATTCCGAGGGGTTCTAAAAATGGCATCATATTCCGATGTATTTAGAAAAACAGTTTTTTAAAACAATTGACTAGTTATTTATGGTCTGCATGATAAAATAATGAATTAATAATTATCTGTTCATATTTATTTATACAAAGGAGAGTTTAGTATGGTCACACTGTAAAATAATCGGTCATTTTGCCGCGGGGAGCGGCGTCGAAAGCACACTTCATACATTTGGGACCTTATGCACGTGAGTATTACGATTTGCCAAATAGTGTTTTACGTAATAATTTTATACAACGCGAGTTTTTGTTTAGGTTGAAATATGGAAAGGATAATATTTTTTATCGAAAACACCTAAGATTTGAGTATTTTATTTGCAAATTAGCAAGAAAATAAGTGTTTAAAATACCGCGGCATTAGGTGCAAAATATTTTAGTGTGTTCCTAAAAGCCGATGTATACCACGGAAAAACAAATTTAAAGACATTTAGTTTTTTTTAAATTTCGGTGTCTGTTTTATGATTATAAACTTTAATGTGTTAGTTCTGACTTAATGAATAACTCATACATTTAATAATCTATTTCCGAGGTACACCATGGCGTCGCATTTACTAATTATAGCAGGTCAAAAATTGTTTGTACAGGTACTTTATTAATACGTTGTATAGAAGATTTTAGTGAAGACATTAGGTTTTATAAGTGTTCTGTTATTATATGTATGTACTTTATATTTGTTTTCCTTTCATATTGTAACTATACATTATTTTATTTGCATAATATTAAAAAATCTTTTACTTTTTAGTACTCGGAATTAGAAACTTTGATTTAGCATCATAAAACGCTATTCCGATGTATTTACGTCGGAATAAGGTTACATGAGTACCTAATTCCGATGTATTTACGTCGGAATAAGATTACATGAGAACCTAATTCCGAAGTTAGTTAAGACCCTGTTTAAATACAGAGTGTTCATTATTTTATGTGCTTAGTAGATACGCGTTTAGTAACTGAAAGAATACTAATCATCTATACAAATACATAAAATTGGAGTGTGTGTTTGTAAAAAAATATAATAAAATTATTTTTTTTACTTTATGTATTCCTTTTTTAGATATTATTAATTATGTTATTTTACTACATTGTTGAACTTTAGTTCCTAAGAATTGTTTCTGATCTCGTAATACGATCTAATTTTGATAATGATTATAGCAATTGTTATACTTTTAAGTTTTAAATTATTTTTGTAATGATACAATTAGATTTTAATGTCGATTTTGTTAATTCATTTTTAGAAGATTAAGGAATAATAATAATAAAAAACAGAGTTTAGAATAAAACTAGAATAAACAAAAAAAAAGAACTGATTTCATATAAAAAATAAACAAATTTGGATCTCGTAATAGGCTCTAATTTTGATATGATTTTAGCAATTGTTATACTTTTAACTTGTAAGTATAAAAATAATAATAATGTAATTATTTTTGTAATGCAACAATTAGATTTTAATTTTGATATTGTTAATTCATTTTTATATTTTTATAAGATTAAGGAATAATAATAATAAAAAACAGGGTTTAGAATAAAACTAGAATAAACAAAAACAGAATTGATTTAAGTAATATAAAAAATAAACAGATTTGACTTTTAAACATCATGTATAATTCACCCTACATAGTTCCCTTTCTATTTTTATACTCGGAATTAGGAACCAAATGCATCGGGATTACGATTTTTAAATCGGAATAAGGTACCTCGGACTTTTTTATATTTTTATTTATTTTATCAGCTTCAATAACCTTCTATTGACAAACTGCAAATATTTTTCAAAAATTTGATAGCTAACACTTCTGATAAAAATATAAAATTGTACACAAAGGTCCGATAAATACTTAATTTACAATGTTCTTTCGTGTTATGTTAAAAACAGCGCGGAATTAGGTGCCTTTACCTTAGTTATGTATAGGTACAATTTATGAAACCTAAACAAAGAAAGCCAGATCTCTCAATCAGTATTAGGTACCCACTCAGCACTAGGAACTGAGGAACAAAGTATAACGTTTATCTATCCAGAAGTATACAGCCTATGTGTTTAAAATTATTTGCATTTTAATTAACTGCGAAGGATTTGTGAAAGCTGCTTGACAAAATTTACATTCGATTCAAAACCACGTTTAAGATGTATGGATCTCTCAGAGTGGACAATTTTAAATTGAGTGATCTTGTAAACTACTTACACTAAAAAGAATGATTAACTCCCGGTTTCCGAAAGGCCGATCAATGTTAAAATCAATTTAATCTCTTGTCAAGTCATCTGATTGGTTGACTGAATTATCAACAACCAATCTGATAACTTGACAAGAGATTTAACAGGAGATTAGTTAATTTTAGCGTTGACAAGCCTTTCAGAAACCGGGTGTAAGTATCATGTTTAAGATTAGATACACATAATTATCATGTTTATTACATATAAAAAATTATACTTTTAAGAAAATTTGTTGGACAAATATATACGTGACTGAAATCTTAGTGGTCCAAGAGAAAATAAAAATCTTGTTTTTTGTCGATCGTAGATATAAAGATCATTATTTTGAACAACATTTATCCACCACAACCTTAACCAAAACTGTAGAAAATATCTGTAGAAAACAAAACTTATCGAACCAGTCTTCCCTGTAAGTGTTATATTTAAAGACAAATATGTTATAAATCCTTGTGGTTAACGTCGAGGGTGACCATATCTCCGGTCGGAATTATACTTTGCTAAACCCTCTTATAATTAGGTTAGGATTGGAAGAGTTTTTCGAAAAGATCTCTTAATCCACACGCACAACTTTGTTAAGTAGGTACCTAATACAAGGCTAATAAACTATTATAATAATGTTTTTACAGCATTCAGACATGTCAGAAGAGATGCGCGCCGAAGCTGTTGAGTTGGCTGTCACAGCTTGCGAGAAATACTCACAGAACAACGAGCTAGCCGCTCGCATGGTCAAGGAGGCAATGGACAAGAAATTCGGTCCGTCTTTCCATGTGATTGTCGGCGAAAGTTACGGTTTCGAGGTGACTTACGAGTGCACTAACATGTGCTACATGTACTTTGGAGGGAACCAAGCCATCTGCATATGGAAATGCTCTTGAAAATCTCATTAGTTTTAATTAGACTTACCAAATGATATACCGAAGAAGGACTTACTTATTAGTTTCTTTACTTTACGGAAATAGTAAATAGAATAGAGTTTATAATAATAATAATGTAGGTACTTAGGTAAACGTTATGCCAATGTGTCTTTCAATTTATTCGATGGTTTGCAAAACTCTTATACTTACTTGTAACCACACTACTCGGAGGTTCAGAATCTAATTACCTAGCTTATTTTTGCTAGAGCGTGTAAGTTATCTAGGTACATACTTACATATTTGTACTCCATGTTTTGTGTTCTGGTTTTTACACGAGAGCATAGGATTTCTTCTAATGGTTAAAACGTTAAAATTATGTTTCAGAAAGTTGAACTCAGTCTTACATCTAATAAAACAATAGACTTTACGTCGCCATGTCGCGTTTCAAAGATATGTAAAAATGGTCTCCACACGCGAACTAACTTTTTATTTTCTAAATGCTTCAAAGAAACTAATTTCAATTTACATAAACGTGGAAAACGTACCGTAAGCGGTTGAAAAGTGGTTTCTTCGCGTGTGCTTGCACAAATAAGAATTGGTATCGATGGCACTTAACTACCTAATTATTTTCTGAAAACAAAAATGATGGTAGGTGTTACTTCCTTTCGAAAGTAAGAAAATGGGTGCCTCATAACATGAAAACTGTAGGTACCTACTTGCAGCGTAAGAATACCTGAATAGGCTAGGTAGGTAACTATAGGTAGGGTGCAGTCTAATCAACCTATGTTTTTTGCGAGAGACTTTCCTTTGTTTTTTTTTTATTGTAGGTTTGATTTTCACGATAAGGAGGTTTGCGATTAATGATTTGATATCCTAAAAAGGTTTAAAATCGATTAAAGGGCTAATTTGATGTCCTGGCGTCTAGTTACGACGAAATGGTTCATAAATTGTAAGCACGCGTGTAGGTCTTCTCCACACTCACACCCCAGCCCCCAGAGGCTAGACTACATTCCACACAGTTGATTTGTTAGGGTGATTTTGAAGGGCGATGGACCCTAGAGCAGACGTCAGCACGTCTACACCATCTATAAATGCGTACTATAGCATAACCAAAGGTGTTGCGATATGGTAAGGTCGGTACTGTTATATCTAACTATGTCGTTCTGCGGAATATTCACATTACTTACTTGCTTACTTCTGCTTAATCATTCGGACATGAAGAACAATATTTGATGTATTAATTATGTAACGATTTTCACTTTTATCCTGCATGATCGTAGCAGCATCTATAGATACGTACTCAGCTCCTCTAATTTTAGTTCAGCGTTCACCGATGAGCGATCAATAAATCTTCATGCATTTAACGGCTTTAGCATTAGAAATATGACTCGGTTGTTACTCACACATACTTGTAGTCATACGCTAGCCAATAAGAATGTTGTAAAACAAACAGGGTCAATGAGACTTGGATTGAGAGCAAAATTTAATTTTTCATTATGGCTATTCAAATATGTAGATACATAGTGCGCCTATGTGTAAGCATTTAGGTAATTTATGTTAAACGTTTTTTTTCGTAAATCTGAAGGAACTCTCTTAACTTCACATTAATTGAATTATCTACTACTGTGTTTGTACGAGTATGTTGCTCGCTTTCGAGTAGAGAGGTTCTTTTTGTTTCTTATTGTTGGCGTAGTGGCTGGGCAACCAACTGCTGGGCAACGTGTTGCGGATTCGATTCCCACACGAAAAAAATATTTAGATACTTGATTATAAGTGTGTTGTGTACCTACGTAAATTTTTATTTTTGCAATCGCATCCACACCATCTGTAGCGAATCTGAGAGTGGAGCTACCTTTCCTAAATAAAAATATGAAGTAAATACTTACTATGATATTTCCAAACTATCACAAAAACCGTTATATTATTACTATAAATAGTTGTTATGGTTTGATGGTGTTGCGTATAGGCGCAGGTAGCTGTAAGTGTGTTATGCAAGCCCTCTATAGATTCAATTAAAACGTGACAGAACGAAGAAATGTTTTTTCGCGGTTCACCACACAATAGTGATTTTAATTAATAAGTCAAGGGCAAACATGGTATCCATTACACTAATAGTGTGTAAAAAATATTGTACCTATAGACATTTTGGACGGTGGGCGATATTAATATAGATGTGGAAAAAAAATGAATTATGTTATTGACTAGAACTTTTTGTTAATTAAAGTAAGCAGTTGTACTTGGGCCTTGAGCCCCATACATACGGAATAATATACCTACTTGGAAACTCCGACAAACCTATTGTTCATTGAGCAATGGCGTAATGAGTATAGCAATCGGCGGAGTGCTGTTTTACAGAACAATTTCGTCAATTACATATGATTACAGTTTTATAACAACATTTAAAATGTAACGTACAAAATAAAGTCGAGGCCATGTTATCTACCTGTGTTGAATAAGGTACATGCGGGTATTAAAGCCTGTCGGCTAATAAGGCCTAAACATTAAAAATCTGGCTTAGAATACGATTTTGCGCTCAATCTCACGCACATACATGTATATTACACGTACAAGGCGCCACCATGCGGCAAGTGTTGGCTAACTCACTCGCTCTCGCTAATGGCGTGTTAAACGTTGTCAAAAGTAGCCGCACGTCACGTTTTTAAAAATATTGGCTCCAGTTAAACACAAATATTTCTTAAATTATTATACTTATCTCCTTGCACTTACTGTCTGTATTATCGTTAACCTATGCTCGTCCCACATTGCCTTATTCATTAACGTTCTACAGTCCAAATTGTATTTATTTCGTTTTTCATAAATACCGTGAAATACTCCAACTTTGGCCACATTTTGTAGAAATTTTGTTGCTGCACCAAAAAAAATTAGAAAAACGTGTTGATTTTATGACGTGAACGCAAAGAATACACAACCTACTATTAGTCAAGCATACAAAATCTGTTAAAAACAAATGATTTTGTATTTTAAAAGTAACTCGAAAGACTGGCCAATGTTAACTCCACTTCCTGTCAACATTATCCACAGCTTATATCGTCTGAACTACTAGCCCTATTTGCATGTTATTAAGAGCTATGGTAGAAATCTGGCCAAAGAAGGCAACGAAATGAAGTAAGTTATTAAAAGTGGCCACTTTCGCTCTTTATCACAGTGGCCAATGTTACCTGGTATTTTTTGCTAATATGCCTACAACTGATTTTTGGGTACTAGGGTTGACACATAGAAACATAAAGAAATGAAAAAATATATGTTTACACTTAATTGTTTTATTTTACAAGTAGCAAATTTAGCAAAGTTGTAGTAAATTTAGTAAGCGGACAACCAAAATTAGCGGCGGCAATCAGGACTTTCACTGTTTTGGCTTCTTCTTCCGCTGGTAGACGCGGTGGACATCCAACAGACTTGTCATGTTTATTGTGAACTTTGTTCAATATGGTCTGTTTAGGTATGGAAAACTGTCGTGCAGCTGCTCGTGCCGATAATTTATCGTTTTGCACTAACTCAACTGCTAGTTCCAGCATTTCTTGGCTATAATTTTTATACTCACGATTTCGCTTTAACTTTGTCCCTGAAATAAATAAAAAATAAACTCATTGCCTCATGTTGCTAGGTACCTGATTTTGAATTGAAGCAAGTATATTACAATATGATTTGCGCAAATACAAGTTTCACGTTGACATAATATAGTGGAAAGGTTAAATCAACAAAAAACTTCTAAGTAGTCCTTCAAACTACCGAACCACTGTACCTTTTAAGTTACAATTTAAAGTAATTTTACTTGTTACATATCTTACTAGTAAGTGGCAGCCCTAATACATAATTGACGGTGGCCAATGTTTACACCCCAAGTACAGAGACCTTGTTTGTAACATTGGTCGCTCACATTTCTTAGACACAAATACTAATCTTAAGTTATAATGCATATCAAAATGTTCTCCTGACATCATTCTATAACATATTCAGAAAGTACTTACCTAGGCTTCATTTTAACAGACACTCGATCAAAAATGCAAAATTGAAAATTGGTCCACTCTTCAATAGTGTCACTTTGACCACGGCTGCTAGACAACTGAATGACGTTACCGAACAAACTGTCAATTACTGTTGCCAGAAATATTATTTATTTACTACCACTGTTTCAAAAATGTGTCTATCTTTCATCATTTCTGTGGTACGACCTAATTTAGTAAATTTCTTGTTCCGTCCAATGTTACCCCTAGAGTCCAAAGTTGGAGGATTTCACGGTACCTAACCTATGGGTAATAAGGCCTATAAAATTGTATAGTAGGCCTTATTATACTTATAGGTATATATACTTTAATATTTGCATTATTTTCAAAATTATTTCAATAGGTATATCATACATTATTCACAGTTCCTACGTTCACGATGCTTCCCAAGCGAGCATTGTGGTCAAAAGATGACTAAACTATGGCATTTCCTCTGAAGACATCGTCTTCTACTTGCACGACTAAAGTAAGAAAAAGAACAATAGTATCTGGGTTTCATGATCTCATAAGGTTATTAATTTTCGGGGTACTCCAGTGAACAAAGATCGTTTTGATAAATTCAATGCAGGTAAGAAAAGCAATGCAGGGCATAAAAATACAATTCAGAAGAAGAAGAAAACCAATGGACAGAAAAGCGATCTAGAAAATTCTAACCTTCAAACACCTTTAAGAGCAATTAAAACAAAGTCTTCTCGCGGATCTGATCGAACCAAGGACACTGAAGGCACTCAAGTGAGTTGGTACTGCCATGCCTGTGAATAACACAGTATGCAGTATGCATGACATGAGGCAGTGCTCTCAATGCCCCAAGTGGTATCATGAGGAGTGTGTTGGTTTATCAGTGGATGATTATGATGACTTCGTTTGCCCTGGTGGAGGTTAGATGAGGCTTTTCGTTTAATTCTAAAGTATTATTCTGCCATTGACTGGATGATGATTATCAAATACCAAATTATGTTGTTTTAGTTGATTAATAGGATAGTTAAAGAAACAGGCCTTGTTACCCTACCGAATTATAATAAGGCCTATTAAGAGCGTTTAAAAATATGTTAAATATTGTTTAAGTTTCATGCAGAAGTTGCAATTTGTTATTTTAATTTTGTAGTTGCCTAAATAAACGACTGATTACCGAATAAAACTAGTTGATTCTATTATCAGTTTTGATTTTACAACGAATTTCCCTTAGCTAGGCCTTAATACCCTCATGTACCTTATAACGTAATTATGTATGTAATGGTTATTTATAAATACACTATTTCGAGCGTGAGAAAATTTTATAATGAAATAAAATATTTTTTACATATTTTTGTGGTTTCATTTGCAGTCAATTGTGATGAAATATTACTTGTGTGTTGAAAAAAGGTGAAGGATGTGTCGACCGAATTGTAGACCTCTTTTTATCTACTATCTAGGTATCTATATAAAATTAGGCGGGTTTTTCTTTCTGACGCTGTAACTCCAGAACTTACGAACCGGTTTATAGCAAAGAAAATTCAGGAAAAATGTCAACAGAAAAGCGGCGGGCGGAGCCGCGGGCGATCGCTTGTGACCTATAATTAATTACACAGAATATGGTATGGAAAATAACAGTTTGTTGGTATGTTACACTACAACTGGAAGTAGTTATAATAAGTTACTTCTAAATGTTTAGGTATCGTATAAAGAGATATGTTTTAATTCCTTAGGATT